CTCTATACTAATCCTTATTGGAACAAATAAGATAAGAGTAAGAAAGCAGATAAGATAAGGATAAGGTAAGATGAACTGTGGCTAGCTAGATAATCTGATGAGGGTCCCACGTTACTGCTGCTGCCGGCGGCGGTACTTCTTCCCCACGAATGCGTCCATAACATTACTCCCCTCCTGGACTACGAGCTTGTCCTCAAGCTCGAAATCTGGATATGTGTCATGGAGTTCAATCAAGGGAATCCGGGATAGGTGGAATGATTTAGCCCTCCTGGATCAGGTTCCAATGAAGGGGATTCATCCTCATCGTCCTCTTGTTCCACCAGGAGGCAGAAAAGTCTCTTGCACTTGTGCCCTACTGAAAAGAGTTCATCACAATTAAAACACTGTCCCCTTGCCCTGCGTTCCACCATCTCAGCCCTGGACAAGTGCTTAATAGGGGGTGCAACAACGCTGCTCCCCTCACTGGATGCTGATCTGGAATTGTGGCTCGTCTATGGTTTCCGTTCTTGGCTAGCTACTGAAGATGGAGCCATTCCGAGTGGTTCCGGGGATGCCCATGCGGATGGAGGCCGCCCCATACTGAAGGTTCCGCGGCTAAGCTGCATCTTTTGTTCGAAGGCGCGAGCTAGATTCATGGTTGTAACCAGGTTGGGGGGTGTTGCATCTCCACATCCACCCTCAAGGGTTCTGCTAACCCTGCGGTGAACATGTCTACCTGCTGGTCCGGTTGTACCGAAGCTGCTCTAGCAAGGAGGGTTTGGAATTGGCGTTGGTATTCAGCCACCGTTCCCGTCTGTTTGAGGTTGATCAGTTCACCTAACGGGTTGCTCGTCAATGGGGACCCAAACCTGAGGAGGCAGTAGGATTTGAATTGGGTCCAACTGAGCCCGGGTTCCTCCTGCTCCAATTTATAAAACCAGAGTTGCGCCTCCTCCATCATGTGGAATGCAGTCAACCTTACCTTGTCGTTGTCCCCTGTCCGTTGGTTGCGAAAGAACTGCTCACATCTGTACAGCCATCCCAAAGGATCTCCGGCACCATTGTATGAAGGGAACTCCAGCCTGCTGTACTTGGGAACGACCGCGGCTACTGGGGCGACGACTTGTTGTTCGCCGGACGACTCCGTCAAGTCTGGTCGGCGGCTGTTTGTGGTTACAGCCCCTTCTGGATTCCTCTCCTTGTTAGAGAAATACGATTC